CTCCCCCTCATCTCCTCTCCCCCTCATCTCTGCTCCCAATCATTTCTCCCCTTCCTCCCATCTACCCTCCACAACATCTTCCCTTCCCATAATCTCCCAATCTCAACATTTCCCCTCCCCCACATCTCCCCTCTTCCACATCTCCCCTCTCCCACATCTCCCCTCCTCCACATCTACCCTCCCCCTCATCTCCCCTATCTCACATCTTCCCTCTCCCATCTCCCTTCCTCCACATCTCCCATCCCCCACATCTCCCACATTTCTCCTCCCTGACATCTCCCCTCCCCCACATCTCTCCTCCCTGACATCTCCCACATCTCTCCTCCCTGACATCTCCCCTCCCCCACATCTCCCCTCTCCCACATCTCCCCTCCCCATCATCTCCCCTCCTACACATCTCCCCTCCCCCACATCTCCCATCCCCAATCCCTCCTCCCAAACATCTCCCCTCTCCCACTTTTCCCCTTCCCCCCATCTCCTCTCCCCCATGTCTCCCTCCCCCCCATCTCCCTCCCCCCCCTCTCCCCCCCCCCCACCCCCCCCCCCCCCCCCCTCCCCCCCCCCCCCCATCTCCCATCCCCCATCTCTCCTCCCAAACATCTCCCCTCTCCTACTTTTCCCCTTCCCCACATCTCCTCTCCCCCATGTCTCCCTCCCCCTCATCTCCATCCCCCACATCTCCCCTCCCCATCATCTCCTCTCTCCCACATCTCCCCTTCCTTCCATCTCCCCTCCTCAACATCTCCCCTTTCCATAATCTCCCCATATCAACATTTCCCTCCACTAAATCTCTCCTCCCTGACATGTCCCCTCCCCCAAATCTCCCCTCCCCCACATCTCCCCTTTCCCACATCTCACCTCCTCCAAATCCCCCCTCCCCATCATCTTTCCTCCCCCACATCTCCCCTCCCAATCATCTCCCTTCTCCCCCATCTCCTCTCCCCATCATCTCCCCTCCTCCACATCTCCCCTCCTCCACATCTCCCCTCCCCCACATCTCCCATCCCCCACATCTCCCATCCCCCATATCTCCCCTCCTCACATATCCAAAACTCCCACATCTCTCTACATCTCCCTTCTTCCACATCTCCCCTCTCCCACATCTCCCCTTCCCCCATCTCCTCTCCCCATCATCTCCCCTCCTCCACTTTTCCCCTTCCCTACATTTCCTCACCCCCACATCTCTCCTCTCCCCCACATCTCCCCTTCCCCCATCTCCTCTCCCCATCATATCCCCTCCTCCACATCTCCCCTCCCCCGCATCTCCCCTCCTCCACATATCCAAACCTCCCACATCTCTCTACATCTCCCTTCTTCAACATCTCCCTTCTCCACATCTCCCCTCCCCCACATCTTTCCTCTTCCACATCCCCCCCCATCCGCTTCCACATTTCCATTCCCCCACAAGGAAAAATATATATAATTCTCTGCAAAGACTTGAACATGAAGAAAGATGTTGGCACACACAGTATATCATTGGTCAAGGATGCAGTAAGTGTATGGATTGCTCCAAAAACTTGACAACCTCATATTGTCTACAGTTTTAATTACTTCCTTGACCTACATAATGTACATATACCAATGCAAAGTAACCCATATCGATCCTTAACCAACGCGTTAATTGTAAGGATTCAGTGTTTATGGGAATTTACCGTCGTTGTTACTTCATATATCGTTGATGTACAATTGGTGTTAACCAGGAAAACTGCATAATCCAAAGCTATTGCCCAGTAGAGAAAAAAGCAGATGCTCTAAAACCTTATTGACATTTGAACAGCTAATACTAAATACGCCCAACTTGTTATATACAATTTTGGCAATCAAGCTATTATGTTAATGATAAAACAGCATTTACCATCAACACAAAGGTATATGAATCCATACCATCAGAGGATGTGTACCTCTGGCACATAACTGCATGTATTACAATTCTAGATGATTATCCGATAATTTATATTGCCATGTTCGGTTTATGTACCGACAGCTTTTGAGGTCGTTACTCAGGCTGTCATTTCAATTCTACGTCAGCTATTTAATTTGCAGTTAATGTCAATTGACAGTAGGTACGATACGCGTAAGTGTAAAAGTGGCACGTATATGTGTAAGTGTGATACTGACCATGTGTCACTGATCCTACCTGCGATATGGGTTTGTGTACAACGTGGATGCGTATGCGGAAGTTCTCTTGACTTTTTATTGGACCGCAAAACTCCGAACGGCTAAGGCAAATCTAAACGATAAATCTTAATCAATTAGAGCCTTATTGTTGAACTTTTATAGCATCAATATTTAAGCAAATTCTAACAAAAAAGCAGACAATTATTTTTGTAAGAAAATATTCTACAGGTATGTTTTACTATATCAGAATTTAGGTTATCATATTTATTATTTATCGACTGCTTTGTACTTACTTCCCCTGTGGAAAAAAGTTAGACGACAGGTAGAAAAATGAAGCCATGATGGTGTTTGTTTATGTTTATGTTCATGAAGCTGTATCCACCACAATTGTGACACGATGAAGCTGGCTCCTAAGATAGTAACAGGTGCATTGCATTCACAAAACAAGGGTGCATGTGACTGGTAAGTTTCTTTTCAAAACGGGAATTTCTAAATGCAGACAGTGCAGCATCACCACCCCGCCCCCATCAAAGTAAAGATGGATTCTGAAATTATGCCTCCTTAAAAAATAATTTTCTTATTTATTAATTTTTCTATTCACTCATTGATAAATCTTATTCATTCATTGACATACACTTTCTTTGGATATGTGTGTGAAATATGCATAAGCCCTGCTCAGACTGTTAATGTGGCCAAAGTTGGTTCTACTGAAGTAAGTTTCACAATTATTTCGCCATCAAAGTTATATATTCTCTATGAGTACAACTTCCAGAAAGTAGATTTAGCATATATCTTGGATTTACAATTCAATCGGAAATCATTTGAGGGTCAAAATTTCAGATTAACTATTAACGTTATACAGTATAAGTAAATCATAGACCGTAACGTTATTTAACTCAGACTGTTAATAACTATAACACAAACTGTTGATTCAGACCGTTAGTAATACACTATAGCTGACCATTCAGATAGTCAATAATTAGGCGGATCGGTCGAGTTTTTCTCCTTCCCACACAACTCCAACAACCCAGGTGGAGTATAAATTGGTCTGGTGTGGATGTTGCATTATCTGTGCTGTAGCATTCAAGTGAGGTGGCACTATAAATGATGCCGTTGCAAGCACAGTCCCACTACAAACAGAACACATTACATCTCCAGCACACACGCAGGCATACACACAAAGGGATATATTAACCAGGTGGAATAGGACTAATAGTAATAAGTGTCTGATAAGACAGCTCCTGCAATTCTCAAAATTGTATTGATAATGTATATGCTAATTGTACAAATTGTATACCGTATCTATGTACTGTAAAGTGCTTAATAGTGGCTTATGTTAGCTAGATAGGGCGCTATATCAAATGCTGTATATTGATATTATTAATTTATTTATTAAATATAACTATGCATGGCTGAGACCTGTCTGTTCAGATAGTCATGTAATATATATATATATCTTTAGCTATAACCTGGCCGTGGTGATTCAAACATCAGTATAGCATTCCATATAAATTGAATCTACATTGTACTTAGAGTGTTACTTCAGAAATTTGCTTTCAGCGCTTCGATGTTAAATTGTGTTTTGCCTGTAAATTAAGTATTTTTCCTGATTTTCTATCATTAAAATTTAATACCTGTAGAATATTTCCTCTCGGAAATAAAGATAAAATATGTTAGGCTTAAAAAGTTGAAGTTCCCATGCACTTGTTTCCTGTTTTGACTGTATTATATCTTACCTGTGTCCTTTATCACTTTCTACTTTTTATGTCCTTTAGCGGCTAGGTTATGTTAAAGTCTAAACAGTTATAAAATTATCAATAATTCAAGGTTATTATATACTGCTTTATCACAACCTAGTTTGTCGGTTGTCTCAAAGCGGTTCACAAATTATTATCCGTGGTTATAGGGCCTTTGCAATTAGCCAATATCTTTCTCAAATCCCTGGGGAGCATACAGTCGGTGCTGGCATTTCGGCGCTCACAGCTAGCACTCAACAGTTCCAGCACTGCCAAACCACATACTCATTTACAGCTGATCAGTAGACTGTTCAAAGATACAACACAGTGCCGTGACGTAACCCAAACTCGCAATCCTTCGGTCCTCTTGGCCCGGCATCCTACCACTAGACTACCGTGCCCCCTTATTATGTCACAGTGGATGCTATTAATCCAAGAAATAAAATCATCTTTCACTCCATTAATTATTAACATACCAGAAAAAAAGAGAGGGTAAGACAGAAATACTTTTTATTTTAATTTAGCTTGACTAATTATAAGGTTGTATAGTAAAAAAGAGAAGGAAATCACACTTCAATCTTTCTTTGTCCCCACACAAATTGCAACATCAGCACAAAAGAAAAAGGTAGACTTGGGTTGGCTGAAAGACATCAGTTTCTATTTTCGGCCTAATTATAAAAATGGAGGAAAATTTGAGGTTGGCATACATGTGAATCAGCACTCTGTTTACAATATTTTAATGCTTGGAGCTATATATATATACACACAATACCATGCAGTAATGGGTTTAATGGTCATATATAGATATTTAAAAAGTCTGCAGGGACAAGAACCGACACCTTTAATGTACATGTATAATATCACAGTCACATATAAATTCATCTGTGCATGATCAATGTCTGCTGGACCGGAACACAGTGATTACCAGAGGCTATATAACTGAGAGAAGATTGAAGATTAGTTGACATCCTGTTCAATATCACAGCTAGTAGTATACACGAACATGCATAAACAAGCAATTTAATACCATCTTTGAAATTGTCTAAATTTCAAGTGCAGCTCCTCTGTAAACTTCCAAGGACCCGTATCAGCCTAGTGATTGGTCAGTGTTTGATACCTCAAACCAATCAAATTGCTAGACATGTGCCTTTGATTTTGTCATGACAAGTATATTAAGAGTGGAACCCTTGGAGTTATATGATTTATACATGATTTATATATATAAGTTATATATAATTTATATATGATTATATATGAATTATATATGAGTTATACATGATTTATATTTAAGTTATATATGATTTATATTTGATTTATATATTAAAGTTATATATAAGGTATATATTATTTATATATACAAGTTATATATGATTTATATATGAGTATTATATGATTTATATATAAGTTATATATGATTTATACAAAGATTTAGTCATCTCTATAGCTCCTTTCAATTTAACTCTGAGACAGCAACATTAGTTGGTAAATCCCTAATACCGGTATACGTACACATTTGACAAATTCAAAAATAAACATGTGACAAATCCTAAACATCAAAATTGATGACATTTCCTATTGTAATGTCAGTCACGTCAATATGCCAGCCAATGACAACTGCAGTACCAAATTTAAAGTTGAAGGATCTAAAGCAATATATTAGATCTATTATTTTTTTTGCAATTTTTTGTTTTCTGTCAAATTATTATTATTTTAATAAAAATGCACAAATGCCTTTAATTTTAATAGTTTTCCTTCATATCATATTTTCTTTTATAAATTTTCTCTAAAAACTAGATTTAAATATTCTATTAGTTTTGGTATTTATAATTTTCCCTATCTAAAAGGTAACTGATGTTGTTTATATATATGTATGTGTACATAGACATTATATTGAATTTTTCTATGTTTTTCTCCTGCCTATACTACTCCAATATCTTAGGGAGTCTCATGTGGATGCTGCAGTGTTTATTCGATCACACTCAAGTGAGTAACTGTAGCACCAGTGGAGGTATTAGGTAGGTGGCTTAGAACCAGTAGTTAGTTCTTAAGTTAATAGGACAGCTCCTGTAAGGTCGCCATATTGTATTGATTATATATGTATTGTAATGCACCTTAGAGTGGCTTATTCTAGCTCAATAGAGTTCTATATAAAATATTGTGTGTATGTGTTTGGCAAATTCCCCTGCAACAAGTAAACAAATGTGTTTTATTGCTGTGTTTTAGGGGATGGCAGGGATTGCTGGCCTATGGTTGTCATAGTTTTGTTGTAATTGTTGATCCAAAAAATGTCCAGGTTGGTATATGTTAATCTTGTTATGGTTGTTTGCAGATATTTTGTGAAATATGGCTTACAAGTAAGTTTAAACATGTATTCACTTCTGCTATATTTGAAAGAATACAGTGAAATTGTAATACAATTTTGTTATAAACAGTACAACATATACCTGTGTCAAATGTCAAAAGACCACATTTCATTACAAGTCTAGTTTCTATTTTCTTCATTAAGATATAGACACAGGTGCAAATATATATTGAAATGTCTATAGTTTTGAATTTACTTACACAACATAATAATATGCCTGACATCTAAAGTATGTGATAATTCTTTCCTTTCAGGTTATACAAGTCCTATACAAGCACAAGTCCAACGTAGTTAAGGTAGGTAGCACAAGTCCTAGGCAAACACAAGTCTAATGTAGTTAAGGAAGGTAGCACAAGTCCTTGACAAGCACAAGTCTAACGTAGTTAAGGTAGGTAGTATAAGTCCTTGACAAACACAAGTCCAACGTAGTTAAGGTAGGTCGCACAAGTCCTAGACAAACACAAGTCTAACGTAGTTAAGGTATGTAGCACAAGTCCTAGGCAAACACAAGTCTAATGTAGTTAAGGAAGGTAGCACAAGTCCTTGACAAGCACAAGTCTAACGTAGTTAAGGTAGGTAGTACAAGTCCTAGACAATCACAAGTCCAACGTAGTTAAGGTAGGTAGCACAAGTCCTAGACAAACACAAGTCTAGCGTAGTTAAGGTAGGTAGCACAAGTCCTAGACAAACACAAGTCTAGCGTAGTTAAGGTAGGTAGTACAAGTCCTTGACAAGCACAAGTCTAACGTAGTTAAAGTAGGTAGTACAAGTCCTTGACAAGCACAAGGCTAACGTAGTTAAGGTAGGTAGTACAAGTCCTAGACAAACGCAAGTCCAACGTAGTTAAGGAAGGTAGCACAAGTCCTTGACAAGCACAAGTCTAACGTAGTTAAGGTAGGTAGCACAAGTCCTTGACAAGCACAAGTCCAACGTAGTTAAAGTAGGTAGTACAAGTCCTTGACAAGCACAAGTCTAACGTAGTTAAGGTAGGTAGTACAAGTCCTAGACAAACACAAGTCCAACGTAGTTAAGGAAGGTAGCACAAGTCCTTGACAAGCACAAGTCCAATGTAGTTAAGGTAGGTAGTACAAGTCCTAGACAAACACAAGTCCAACCTAGTTAAGGTAGGTAGCACAAGTCCTAGACAAACACAAGTCTGACGTAGTTAAGGTAGGTAGCACAAGTCCTAGACAAGCACAAGTCCAGCATAGTTAAGGTAGGTAGCACAAGTCTTAGACAAACACAAGTCCAACGTAGTTAGGGTAGGTAGCACAAGTCAAGTCCTTGACAAGCACAAGTCCAATGTAGTTAAGGTAGGCAGTACAAGTCCTAGACAAACACAAGTCCAACGTAGTTAAGGTAGGTAGCACAAGGCCTTGACAAGCACAAGTCCAATGTAGTTAAGGTAGGTAGTACAAGTCCTAGACAAACACAAGTCTAACGTAGTTAAGGTGGGTAGCACAAGTCCTAGACAAACACAAGTCCAAGACAAACACAAGTCTAACGTAGTTAAGGTAGGTAGTACAAGTCCTTGACAAGCACAAGTCCAACGTAGTTAAGGTAGGTAGCACAAGGCCTTGACAAGCACAAGTCCAATGTAGTTAAGGTAGGTAGTACAAGTCCTTGACAAACACAAGTCTAACGTAGTTAAGGTAGGTGGCACAAGTCCTAGACAAACACAAGTCTAACGTAGTTAATGTAGGTAGTACAAGTCCTAGACAAACACAAGTCTAACGTAGTTAAGGTAGGTGGCACAAGTCCTAGACAAACACAAGTCTAACGTAATTAAGGTAGGTAGCACAAGTCCTAGACAAACACAAGTCCGAGACAAACACAAGTCTAACGTAGTTAAAGTAGGTAGCACAAGTCCTAGACAAACACAAGTCTAGCGTAGTTAAGGTAGGTAGCACAAGTCCTAGACAAGCACAAGTCCAGCATAGTTCAGGTAGGTAGCACAAGTCTTAGACAAACACAAGTCCAACGTAGGTAGGTAGCACAAGTCCTAGGCAAACACAAGTCTAATGTAGTTAAGGTAGGTAGCACAAGTCCTTGACAAACACAAGTCCAACGTAATTAGGGCAGGTAGCACAAGTCCTAGACAAACACATGTCTAACGTAGTTAAGGTAGGTAGCACAAGTCCTAGACAAGCACAAGTCCAGCATAGTTCAGGTAGGTAGCACAAGTCTTAGACAAACACAAGTCCAACGTAGGTAAGGTAAGTAGCACAAGTCCTTGGAAAAACACAAGTCTAACGTAGTTAAGGTAGGTAGCACGAGTCCTAGACAAACACAAGTCTAACGTAGTTAATGTAGGTAGTACAAGTCCTAGACAAACACAAGTCTAACGTAGTTAAGGTAGGTAGCACAAGTCCTAGACAAGCACAAGTCCAGCATAGTTAAGGTAGGTAGCACAAGTCTTAGACAAACACAAGTCCAACGTAGTTAGGGTAGGTAGCACAAGTCCTTGACAAACACAAGTCTAACGTAGTTAAGGTAGGTAGCACAAGTCCTTGACAAGCACAAGTCTAACGTAGTTAAGGTAGGTAGTACAAGTCCTAGACAAACACAAGTCCAACGTAGTTCAGGTAGGTAGTACAAGTCCTAGACAAACAAAAGTCTGACGTAGTTAAGGTAGATAGTACAAGTCCTTGACAAACACAAGTCCAACGTAGTTAAGGTAGGTAGCACAAGTCTTTGTCCAAATCAGGTCAAACATCAAAGACAAGTCCAACGTAATTAGGGCAGGTAGCACAAGTCCTAGACAAACACAAGTCTAACGTAGTTAAGGTAGATAGTACAAGTCCTTGACAAACACAAGTCCAACGTAGTTAAGGTAGGTAGTACAAGTCCTTGACAAACACAAGTCTAACGTAGTTAAGGTAGGTAGCACAACTCCTAGACAAACACAAGTCCAACGTAGTTAAGGTAGGAAGCACAAGTCCTAGACAAACACAAGTCCAACGTAGTTAAGGTAGGAAGCACAAGTCCTAGACAAACACAAGTCCAACGTAGTTCAGGTAGGTAGTACAAGTCCTAGACAAACAAAAGTCTGACGTAGTTAAGGTAGATAGTACAAGTCCTTGACAAACACAAGTCCAACGTAGTTAAGGTAGGTAGTACAAGTCCTTGACAAACACAAGTCTAACGTAGTTAAGGTAGGTAGTACAAGTCCTTGACAAACACAAGTCTAACGTAGTTAAGGTAGGTAGCACAAGTCCTAGACAAACTCAAGTCCAACGTAGTTAAGGTAGGTAGCACAAGTCCTAGACAAGCACAAGTCCAGCATAGTTCAGGTAGGTAGCACAAGTCTTAGACAAACACAAGTCCAACGTAGTTAGGGTAGGTAGCACAAGTCCTTGACAAACACAAGTCTAACGCAGTTAAGGTAGGTAGCACAAGTCCTAGACAAGCACAAGTCCAGCATAGTTCAGGTAGGTAGCACAAGTCTTAGACAAACACAAGTCCAACGTAGTTAGGGTAGGTAGCACAAGTCCTTGACAAACACAAGTCCAACGTAGTTAAGGTAGGTAGTACAAGTCCTTGACAAACACAAGTCCAACGTAGTTAAGGTAGGTAGTACAAGTCCTTGACAAACACAAGTCCAACGTAATTAGGGCAGGTAGCACAAGTCCTAGACAAACACAAGTCTAACATAGTTAAGGTAGGCAGTACAAGTCCTAGACAAACACAAGTCTAATGTAGTTAAGGTATGTAGTACAAGTCCTAGACAAACACAAGTCCAACGTAGGTAAGGTAGGTAGCACAAGTCTTTGTCCAAATCAGGTCAAACATCAAAGACAAGTCCAACGTAATTAGGGCAGGTAGCACAAGTCCTAGACAAACACAAGTCTAACGTAGTTAAGGTAGATAGTACAAGTCCTTGACAAACACAAGTCCAACGTAATTAGGGCAGGTAGCGCAAGTCCTAGACAAACACAAGTCTAACGTAGTTAAGGTAGGTAGCACAACTCCTAGACAAACACAAGTCCAACGTAGTTAAGGTAGGTAGCACAAGTCTTTGTCCAAATCAGGTCAAACATCAAAGTCATTGTTGCTATAAATAGAAAATTTGGTTTCCACACAATTCTTCAATTTCCATGAACCTACAAACTTTTTCATCACTTTCTTACCGAAAGTTCTTCCAAGGTAAGGGAATGCTTTTAGTCTGATCGTCAAAGGTTACTGTAGAAAATTGATTCCTGCAAAATTACTTGAGTCCATGGGGCGATAAAGTTGAAATGTCATACCCTGCTTCCTTACCAAGAGCACTTGCTTGATATTGCTTTTCAGATCAGAAAGTTCATGAGAGCAGAACTTGACACAAGGGTTTTAACTAGAAATGTAAAAAGGACTTGATACATAGTTATATACCATACCATGTACATGTGTAACAAACATAAGCAGGACTCAACACAAAGCTTATGTACAATCATTTATTTACTGCATGTGTAAAATAATTGTCAGTGCTGTAAAATGTCAGAATAAATTCAATAATGGAAGGACATGTTTGTTGTTTGAAGGTGAAATGGGCACGAGAGAACTATAATCATGATCAAGGTAGTCCCTACAACCTTCGTCTCGCATCTGCGGACGCTAGCGGTGTCATTGTTACATGGGATGTCATTCCAGGGCAGTCTAAAGCCGAGTTCTCTGATGGTCAAAGACCAATACAAGGTAAGGTAAATTAGAAGCTAGGAGAACATCTCTATACACAATAAAGTTCTCCTTACTGAGGACACTGTTAAGTAACATTCATAAATCTACCATTGTATGGCATTGCCAATTTATACCCTGCCATATTCACATGAGATTCATGTATGCTATGAACGCCAAGACCCAAATTTTGAGGTCATCAGTCATGATTGTTAGGTTGGATATCCTCCCTGGACAGGTGGTTGGATAAAGGCAGTTCCAACATGAAGTGCCAGTGCACTTCTTCGTACCTGCCCTACCCTTTATCCAATTGGCATTCATATTGCCTATGAACGCCAACTGAAGCAGTTTAAAGCTTAAATGAACTGATGAGTCCACATTTATTACCTTGAATCAAAGATAACCCAATATGATCATGATGTTGTCAAATTTTGAAATTATGCTGAATTCAAAAATAAATTTGATCGAAAACTATATATTTAGGAACAAAATTTGGTACAGTGCTGTGTCTTTTTACTATCCTTGTGCAAATTCTGTTAATTATCTGAGCATTGATGATTGTACACAGTGAAAGCCGTCTCATCCATTCAGTGAGTGTAGCCTGATATCCTGTCTTATCCAACCAGTTTCTTATGAAAATGACAAAACAAGACTTGTATATTTCCAAATCCTGTCTAATCTGACCAAGGTATTGTGTGCCACAGGGTGTCAGATTAGACAGGTTTTACTGTAACTGATCAGACGTGAAAAGCTTTATTTTACACAACCAATAAAATTGTCTATGTGGCGTTTGGATGACTAGTACGATATGTACACTGTCATCTTCATCAGACAAATGACCAGTGAATTATGCACACAAAGGTGTAAAATGTGTACGAGTTGTCCACAAAATCGATGTCGATTTCGGCTACGCTGTAAGCGTATGTACAATAGTTGTTATATATGTACCGAAATGACTCGATCCAGCTATGCTTTGTTTAATGCTTGGTCATAGATGTACGAGAGTCTTTGAGCCCCCTCGTCTCGATTTAGAACTGGCCAACTGCGGCATATCCAGATGGCTTCCTTTAATTGCCGCTTGAACAGATTGCTCTTTCTGTCCAAAACTTTGGAGTTATCCCAGTCAATCACATGATTTTTCTGTGTGGCATGGTCTGTGATTGCCAATTTAGTTTACTGTGACTCCGACTGCTTCCTTTCTGATCTAGTGAATTTCCTACCTTCTTGGGTTTAAACAAAGCCTAGCTGGATCGAGTCATTTCGGTACATACATAACAACTATTGTACATACGCTAACAGCGTAGCTGAAATCGACATCGATTTTGTGGACAACTCGTATACATTTTACACCTTTGTGTGCATACGCTTCACTGGTCATCTGTCAATTTTATTGGTTGTGTAAAAAAGAACTTTTCATAACCCATACCTACCAACCTGAAGAAAATGTTTAGAAATATACGTGAAAAGGTATGGGATCACCTACCTGACCAGATTGATTTTCTCCCAGTATTCCGGTTTCTACCCCCAACAATAAAAAAACCCTGCAAGCTTCTATCTGGGCCAAAAAGAGTGATTAATGTAAGCTGAAAAATAATGTGTGTCATATTTGTTGTAAATTAAGTAAACTTTATATTTATAATGTACCTATTTATCTTTGATTACATCAGATCTAGAATGGCTCTCCAATCAGGATGCATCACATGACCTTCTAGTCGCGCTACATCCCCCGTACTCGCTGATATTGTGGAACGCTGACACCGGGACCAAGCTATGGAAGAAGTCCTACACAGAACCTCTTTTGTCGTTCTCATTTGACCCGTTTAACATAAAAAATGTCGCATGTAAGTCAAACCTTTCATAGTGTGACATATTTGGTTGACTAATACAGACTAACATTGAAAAGGAACAAAATCAGTTCCTAAATGAATTCAAATATCATTTATATTAAAAAAGATAAAAAAAAAAAAATGGAAATTTTTGTTTATATTGTTTTAAAGCCATTTAGCCTTTTCACTTAGTATAATTGGTTATCTTTAGAAAATTGAATCTTGTTTATTATCAAATAATTTATTAAATATAAGTACCTAGGAAAACATTTACAGATGTATAATAACCCTGTTGTATTCACTCTAGTCCTCGGCCAAGACTGTATCGTATTTGTGGACGACTTCTCCATAACCAAGACACCTTCCAGTAATGGCAAGAAATTCTACATCTCTAGTCCCTCAAGTCAAGGTAAGCAAGGATTTATATTTCTAATCCTTCAAGTCAAAGCAGGCAAGAAGTTTGATATTTTATAGTCCTTCAAGTCAAGGTATTCAATGAGTTTGACATTTCTAGCCCTTCAAGTCAAAGCAGGCAAGAAATTTGATATTTCTAGTCCTTCAAGTCAAAGCAGGCAGGAAGTTTGATATTTTATAGTCCTCCAAGTCAAGGTATTCAATGATTTTGACATTTCTAGTCCTTCAAGTCAAAGCAGGCAAGAAATTTGATATTTCTAGTCCCAAAAATTAAAGAAGACAAGAAATTTGATATTTCTGGTCCCTAAAATCAAAGAAGACAAGAAATTTGATATTTCTAGTCTTTTAAGAAGAAAGAAATAAACCAAGGACATTTCTGTTTTCATTTCATCAAGTTAAGGTTGGCAAAACAACTGATAATTTAAGTGTTTCAGTGAATGGTAGATAAGAAGTTAAATTTCTCTTGTCCGAGTCAAGATTTAAGTATTAAAACTTGAGCTCCACATTGTCCTTAAGCTTTTATCTACCAAATGTTAAACCCAGAAAAAAGAGCAAATAAACAAGTCACAGATGTTAAAGGTCAAGGTCTCCCACTTCAGTTAGGAAACTCATTTAGATAGGACAGAACAGGTATCTTAACATATATCCGGACTGAGCAGTTTTTTTCCTAAAGATCAAAGATAGGTGTTGTTATGTTACAGTATCAAATTATGAACCATGAATATTAAAAAAAGGAAATTTGTCATAATATCCACAATGCTCCTATTTTATTTCTCTAATACTTTGGTAGCTTCCAACTTGAAGACAGAAGGTTCTACGAGTAGTTTGGACAAGAAATCAACGTCTCGAAACCTAGCCAAACGGATGAGCAAAATGTTGGTGGGGGAGGGGCCAAGTAAAAAGTAAGTATGTGAATGACTCAAGAAATGAGTAAAATATTGGTGTAGGAGGTTCTCAGTAAAATATAATCAAATTGACCATGTTCTCAATACAAAATTATAGGTTTTATGAGGAGATATGCTTATTAAACAAACACTTAACAATGTCTCTCAACTAATTACTGCTCATGGATAGTTGGGGCGACCTCCTGGTTGCCTTCTTCAGCCCTTACTGAGATCAGTAGGGGGCTTCAGACTAGTCTGGCAATTCAGTCATGTGACCTGGGGATTATCCCCAAGTCATGTAACTGAATCAGGCTGGCATAGGCTGGTGGTAGGTGGTAGCGCCCTCAGTCTTGGTTAGAGTCTGGATAGTGGCCGCGATGTAGATGGCCTCTTTGATCCCTCTATTGAACCTGCGGGGGTCTTGGTCCAGTACTCTAATGTTGGGAGCCCCAAAAGAGTGTGATCTTTGGCTCATAATGTGAGCTCCGACTGGTGACGTGTCTCTATGATGTTCTGAGACTTGTTTCCTGAGGGCTCTTTCTGTCTCGCCCACATATGCTGCTGGGCATTCTGCACAGGAAATATGCTTTAAATATCTGTTGATAACATATTCAAGTTTACCAGAGAAGAAAATGACCCGAGTATTTCCTTATAGACCAATATAAAATAGTTCACCTTTATAATACGACATAAGTGTTGACCTTGAACCAAAATAAAATAGTTCACTTTTATAATACGACATAAGTGTTGACCTTGAACCAATATAAAATAGTTTACCTTTATAATACGAAATAAGTGTTGACCTTGAGCTACCTTGTTCTCTAAGGTCTGGAGGAGACGAAGAATCTGTGACCTTGAATGAGTGTCTCCAGCTGGAGTTCCATCGGGCGTGTCGGCACCACCTGATCCTGGTGTACCCCCGCGAGATCCTCCTCCTGGACCTCGAGATCAATCAGACAGTCGGAATCATCACTATGGAGAGAACAGGTTCGCCTTTTGTACAGGTAAGGGGACATATACAGCTGAAGAAACAGTCTTACTATTTGTCCAGTTAGTGGCGGTCATAGGCCTGTACACCCAATTTGAAACTAGAATAGTGCAGAAGTACAAAATTCAAACTTTTGGAATGAAAAATAATTTATACTTTTGTTTTTAAAAGTTGTGTATTTATTTTAGATCAAATATCAAAAAACATAGAGCAAATAGAAAGTCATGGGTGAATCATTCAAAGTTATTCATGATCTGTAAATAAAAATGTCAAAAAATAATATCTCTAAAGTGCTCAAATGTCACATCATGATATCTAGAATTACAAAATGTTCTTGGGGGGGGG